ACACACTCAACACTTACACAAATTCATACCCATGCCTCTCAAACATAACTCAAACTTTCCTCTTGGCAGGGCCTTTGTGAATATGTCAGCTACCATCGACTCTGTTCCCAGATACTTCAGACTGATCACTTTGTTGCGAAGTGCCTCTCTGATAAAGTGAACTCTAACGTCAATGTGCTTTGACCTCTTATGGCAAGAGTCCTCACTGTTTGCCATAGCTATTGCAGACTGACTATCACTACTCAGCTTAATAGTCTTGTTAAGTCCAGTTATTTCTCCAAATAACCTCTTAAGGAAAACTGCTTCTCTTGCAGCATTTGACAAACTAATATATTCCGCTTCTGCACTTGATAAAGCAACTACTGTTTGTTTTCTGCTTTCCCAACTCACAGGTGCAGACCCAAATTTAAAAATATAACCTGAATAGGACTTGCGATCTGTTACATCACCCGCATGATCTGCATCAACAAACCCTTCTAAATCTCTTCCACTTTGTTTAAACACCAGCCCCAGGCTTTTGGTGCGTTTAAGATAGCGAAAAACTCTTTTTTAGTGTCTGCCAATGTTGCTCTCCATAGCAACTATTAAACTGACTCAAGTAACTTATTGCAAAAGCTACATCTGGTCTTGTGCAGACTGCCAAATACATTATAGAACCTACTAATTCTTGATAAGGAATGTTATTAGGCGGCTCATAATTTGTTTCCACCGGTTTGGTCAACCTATAACCAGCAATGAGAGGTGTAGAAACAGGTTTGCAGTCCTGCATGTTAAACCTGGCTAATATTTTCTCTATATAGCCTTCCTGATCTAGTGTAATGTCATCTTCAGTTTGTTGTAGACGCATTCCCAGAAACAAATCCGCTTTACCAAGATCACGCATCTCGAAGGTATCTCTTAACTCCTTCTTGACTTGCTGCATCTCTGCTTTATTGTTCCAAAAAATCAATAGATCATCAACGTACACCGCTAGGATTATTAGCCTGTGTTGACTTCTCCTTATATAAACACATGGTTCGTTGTCTAGCTGAGTGAACTTCAACTGTTTCAGTGCTGAGTCCAACCTTTGATTCCAAGCTCTTGGGGCCTGCTTCAAACCGTACAACGACCTTTTCAGTAAGCACACGTAATCCTCTTTTCCCTTCTCCTCAAACCTTCAGGTTGCTTCATGTACACTGTCTCTTCAATGTACCCATTAAGAAAAGCGGTCTTCACATCCATTTGATCAATTTTTAATTTATTCTCGGCAGCCATTGCCAACAGAAGACTCAATGAACTATGCCTGATCACAGGTGAATATGTCTCAAAGTAATCAACACCTCTGCGTTGTTTGAAGCCCCTCGCTACAAGCCTTGCCTTATATCGTTGCTTGTTTCCAGCTTCAGTCTTAACTTTAAGAACCCACTTGCTATCGATCACGTTTTGTTTTGGCTCTCTCTTTACTAGCTGCCAAGTTCGATTCTTGTGAAGAGCATCCAATTCTTCCTTAATAGCCTCACGCCAAAGTAAGCTGTCTGTCCCTGCGAGTGCTTCTCTGACATTTATAGGTTCCTCCAAACCAAAACCACTCTCTCCGGGTAGAACTGCTTGATATAGAACGTGATCAGGGAATTGTCGTGGCTTTCTGTTTCTTATAGGGTATCTCCGTGCATCCGTTTGATCACCTCTATGATCATTCTCCTCCGAAACGGGTGCATCGGAACTCAGATACCATTGTTCAGTATCATCTCTGTCTTCAGTCTCCTCCGTAACTGAAGAAACAGCACCTGTTCTGTCCTGTTCTATATTACCAATATCCTCTGACTCAGGCATCATAATACCTCCTCCGTTCCCTGAGAGGTGTCTCTCTGTTTCATTTCTACAACCATCCTCTATCTCTTCTCCACAGACCACCTCCTCCGTTGATTGAGTACTTGTTAGTGGTACCACAGTGAACTCCGGAATCGGTCTTTGATGAAAAGCAGAATTTTGTCTAATAGTCAAAATCTCACTAGATGGTTGTTTCCGTGAAACTATATTATTCTCAAAAAATACTACATCTCTTGCCTTATGAAGATTTCCAGAAACAGGATCCAACAGTCTGACCGCTTTGGAATTTTCGCAGTATCCTAAAAGTATAAGCTCCTTACTCTTTGGATCTAGCTTGCGCCTCTTTTGGTCAGGAACGTGCGTGTAGGCCTTACACCCAAAAACTTTCACGAAGCCTTCTTCCCGTCCAAGCTTCTTCAGGTGTTTTATCCTTTAGAGCCTTCGTAGGCGACCTATTTTTAAGAAAAACTGCATATACAAGAGCCTCTGCCCAGTAGCGTTTTTCTAATCCTGCCTCATGCAGCATACACCTAGCTTTTTCCATGAGAGTTCTATTTGCACGTTCTGCCACCCCATTCTGCTCAGGGGTATACTCGACAGTAAGTTGATGAACTATACCGTACTTCTTAGTGAAACTTTTCATTTCATTGTTCACATATTCTTTGCCGTTGTCTGTTCGGATTGACTTCAGCTTCTTCTCTGTTTGCCTCTCTGCAAAAACTTTAAATTCTTTTATTTTCTCAACAGCTTCGCTCTTATTCTTCAATAAGTAGACAAAAGTTTTCCTTGTCTTATCATCTATAAGTGTCATAAAATATCTGTACCACGACATAGAGTTGATACTCATTGGCCCACAAATATCAGAATGTACTAACTCAAGTACTTCACTAGCTCTTTTAACCTTACGCTTTGGAAAAGGTTGCCTTGTTTGCTTACCCATCAGACAAGATACACATTCTAAGTTACTATTAGAATTTAGAAAATTTACCCCATCTGCCAGTTTGTCTCTCAAAAGTTTAAGATTGCTTACTCCTAGGTGACCCATCCTCCGATGCCACAACATCAGTTGATCGTCCTTCTGCATACTGGAGACTAGTGCTATAGTGCCCTGTTGAAAAGGATTAAGTTTATAAATGCCATTATCTACCCAACAGTCACCAGCCACAACTGATCCATTCACCTCGCAATCATCCGAATTGTAGATTTCACAACCTCTGTTTGAAAAAACTACAACTCTACCTCTCTTGACTAACGTATTTACGCTTAGTAAATTTGTAGCCAAGTCAGGAGCATACATAGCGTCTCTCACTCTTATGCTCCCATCCACATCAACTACATCACCAATTCCAAAGCCATACACCTTACCACCATCCGCGCATGCAATCTCTCTCTTCGATTCATACGCCACATAATTCCTCAGCCAACCTTTATCATTTGTCATATGTGAACTCGCTCCCGAGTCAATCACCCATTCCGCTGAAGATCCTTGACCACTGGTCGCAAAAACATTTGCTGATGCCGAATAATTTTTTCTTCTGTTAGGATTGTCAGGGCATTCAGCCGCTTTGTGATTTCCTTCACATATAAAGCATTTCATCGCCTTAGCTTTCTGGTTTGCTTTGAATTTTCCTTTCCCTTTCTTCTTGCTTGCTGTAAGAGCAGAATCATCTTGTTGCAAACTAGTTGATGGTGTGCTCTCATCGCTTAGGTTGTATAACTTCGTTTTGACATAGTCTGTAGTAATAGTTATATTACTATTTTCAATAGCCATCTTCAATGGTTCATATTTCTTCGGGAGACCTTGAAGCATCAATGTAGCCAGAATCTCAACATCAAACATCTTTACCAATGTCACTAAGTTGCTGTGACACTGACAGTATGGCTGTCACATATTTTTCAATTGTTTGAAATTGCTCCAATCTCATGCTAACTAATCTGCCCAACAATCGACATTTGTTATTTATGCCCTTGTCCTCATAGGCTTTGCTTAGCGCCTCCCAGGCCTCTTTTGCCGTCTTTGTCTTTCTTATCAAGGTGCGACATCTCTGATCCACCATCAAACCGATTCGAGCCCGTGCTTTTTGGTCTCTACGAATGCCTGCTACATCCTCCGGCTGTGGTGACACTTGCGTATATTTCCACAAATCATCATCCGTTAGATACAACTCCATATCAAACTTCCATGTGTGAAAATTAGAGCTTCCTACTAATTTTTCAATATACGCAGCATTAACGCCCGCACTTCGTATTTCTGTACTCGAATTTTCATTTTTATATCCATCATGCGACATTTCCATATTTTCACTAGTATTCATCTGGGCCCATAACCCTGATGGGAAAGATTTATTCCCAATCAATGATGAATTCAATGAAGATAAATTATTGACACATAGAATAATAAAAATATATTAAATTAACACGAAATACATAATTATAGAAAGACAGTTTTTACTAAGACGTTTTTCTCTCGACTGCAATTGACACACACTGGAACAGTACAATTTTCAAATGTAACACCTGTTATCTGTAAGTGGCCAGTAATCCTTAGCGGAATGTTATGAAATCTCTAACAGTGATAACTAAAACTAAGCTAAAAAACTTTTTTATATTGAAATAGTTCAACTTGAGAAAAGCTTAGATTATTACTTAAATTTTATGTATATTAGTATGATAATGTGAGGAAAGGTTATTTTTTAATAAAAACTTTTATCTAACAACAAAAAAAAAACATAGCAGAATCGCTATTTTCTTTTTCTTTCCGATACTTCACATAAATCCATAATTATTACAACAATAACACTGACACTATGATGGACGGCTTTCAGGATAGTGTGTGGGCTACATCCTGCTTTGCAGTCCTGCACGGCGGACTGCCAGGCAGGACAGAGAATGGGCCCCTTTAGGCGCAGTATATTTATGTCTTATGCTTAGGAGCTTAGGACAAATCTATTGAAAATTTATGGTACGAACTCCGATGACATATTGTGTCATATCATAATCATAGATAAGACATATATACTGTATCAGATGTAATATGAACTAAGATATGTCTAATTGTCTAATGTTTATTAAAGTATTAATAATAGACTAGTGCTTTTGTTTGTATACCCTAGATAAAATATTTATTAAATAACAACTTGCCGGTATTTTCGATTAAAGTTGTATTACAAATAAATATGTTTCATTGTGCAATGAGACAAGTAGAAGAACGACATGTTGCATATCAAGTCGATCTTATGGTGTGGAGTAATCGTTTAGATTTATTAGCAATAAGCAATTTCAAAGGTATTTAATTAAAATAAAAAGAACAATATGGTAATTGTTTAAAATCTTACGCATCGAATTTTGAGTGATGAATAGTCGATAGAAACGCTTACTTTTAATAGAAAAAATATAATTAAAACTTGTTATTCTCAATAAGCAAGTCCAATAAAAAGACTCAAAATCATAACACATACTGCCAACATGCTAAATAATATAATGAAGGGGGACAAAATTAAAATCTTTTCTTAATCGGTCTTGGTGATGCTTGTTATATTAGTTGGAATCTACAATAAAAATCACAACATCCTAGCTTAATTGAAGTCCTTGAAGTTGGTCTCTTTCCAACCAATTTCATCATATCGCTTTTTGACTATTTGTGTGCAAATTTCTTGAACTCTAGTGGCTTGCATCAATTTTAACTTATGAATTATTTCATTAGTGACAATTCTCTATCAATTTAAAAATTTTAAGTTTTAAAAAATTAAGATTGTGGTAAATAATTGTTATTTTCTGATTTTAAGACTACAATTTTTTTATATTGCAGACTATAAATCATTAACTATTAAATTTAGATAATATATTATAATAAATTAATAATATGTTATACACAATTATTATAATCTAATATAATATCACTACATAGTATATAAAAAGTAGTCCTGCTGTCTGTCTGTTCCTATGTATACTTAGATCTTTAAAACTATGTAAGGGATCTTGATGTGGATTTTTTAACTAGATATAGTGATTCGGGAGGAAGGTTAATATGTATAATCATTGCACTAGTGCAAAGCCAGTGTGGGTCGCTAGTATTATGATATTATTTTTGTATACAATTGTATCTGGTATTATAATGAGAATGCAAATTTATAATTTCCATAATTCAAACAACTCTCGAATGGTATGATTTCTATAAAATTATTTATATTCATTTCTTTCTGTGAAATAAAAAAAAAGAACATTTTTTTTAACAGCTTGCATGAAAGATTGTTTACATTAATTTTTATTGTACACACCTGTTTTAGGAGAAGTGCAGGTACATAGATTACATTGGCAAAAGGTATGGAATTTACCACCGCCAAAGGAAAATGTTACTGTTCAAGCTATTGCTTGGCGCCCTGATGGAAAGGTATTTAAAGACAGAAAGAAAAATATTACCCATTTATAATTTATTCTTTTAAATCTTAACATCTAATTACAAATGCCTTCTTTCAGGCCCTAGCTATTGGCTACAGTTTTGGAAGTGTGTATGTTGTGGACATAGAAGATAAAGAAATTTTAGATAAATATGATTTTGATGTTGATAATACAGAAGATACTTATGATTGTAAACCTGTAGGCATTTCCTGCATAACATGGGCAGTTAAATCAGGGAAATTGGAAAGGGCAACAGAATATAATGTTTATGTATGTGCTCCAATACTACATTATTTATTCATTTTTTTTCTTGTTATATAAAGTTTCATACTTAGTTCAAAAATTTTTAAACTCTACATTTTTTTGATTTAACGATGACATCTAGGATTTAAGCTAAATCAGCACTTAAAATATGTGTTAAAATTGGGATTATGCAATATATATATATATATATATATATATATATATATATATATGTATATATATATATATATATATATATATATATATATATACATTATTTAAAGCATGGGCCAGGACTCTGAGCTGTAAACATTTTTAATAATTCAAATAAAGTGTTTTTTCTAGGATGATGCATCAATATTTTTGCAAAAACCACCATCCCCCAGCACATCATACAAAAATCAAGACATTGATGACAATGTAAAATGTTTCAAAGAAATATCAGAGCCATCACAATTAAACATGTTAATGGTTGGATATGGCTCAGGCAATATATACATGAGTGTTTTTGGGAGATATCCCTATGGAACTATACATTTAGCTCATTTAGTTAATGATGAGTGTGGAGAATATAAAGTAATTGATATAAACTTATCTACTGATTTTAGTGTAATGCAAATACTTTACTTAGACAGAATTACCAACAATGTGTATTTATCAGTCATTAATACTAGTGTATTGTCAGCTTACTCTGAAGAATTATTTGTGGTAGCAAGCAAACATAGCCAAATAGTACAATTGTTGTCTCATCTTGATCAAACAATGATATCAATAACAGAGGCATGGGAACATATATTAATAGAAATGGACTCCAAAATGGCATGTTATGCATCTTCAGTGCCACAGGGTGGTGTTTCAGCCGACTTATTGGAGCTCCTTATGCTGGGTGTGTATTGTTTATATTTAATGAAATGTTCAATGATTTTACTTATATTAAAGTTACTTTCAAACCTTTTAGGGGTACCTTCAGATGAACTTGAATTATTTTTACTTCAAGATTTGACAGCCAAGGGATTGAAAAAATTTGGAGGTTCAGTGGAATTAAGTTATTCAACAATACAAAAATTAGTTTTAAGACAACTCAATATTGTGGGACATAGTATATCTTATTATCTCTCTGATATAAGAGGATTGACAAGGATACCAGATAGGTACAAGGTAATATTAAGTATTTTAATAATAAGTGTTCTATCATATTTAATTAGAAATTTTACGGAATTATTTTTCAATATTTTTTAGATTCTAGGTCTAGATGAGACTACAGTTACAAGATCTATTAGAGCATGTTGTGCATTTTTAAACAAATGTCTGGAACTGCAACAAGTTATTGATGTATCAATGCGAAATTATAAAATATTCTTTCGGTGGTTATTTGTTGTAATAGTAAGATTATTAGATGAGCAAACACCTGGTGATATAACGAAAATGACTCAACAAGAGCTTGCACATATGGCAGAATTTTTATATAACTTTGATAACAATCAAACTGAGGGTGATAAATCATCAGAAAAACCAGTAAAGTTTAATTTAGAAAGATTAGGGCAGTACCTGCAAGACCAAGAATTAACAATTCTACCTGATGATGAAGACAATCCCTGGCTGAAATTTTTAAAAGAAAATTCCTGTTTAGTAAATGACAGTGATACAATATTTTCAATGACAGAGTTTAGAAAATTTTCTTTAGTTCAGCAGCAAAAATATTTAAAAAATGCCATAGACCAAGTTTTTGATGTTACTGGTAAAAATATTGGAAAATATTTTTCGGTGATTTATAACAGTAAATGTTATGAAAATCGTGGACAACTAATAAGTTCAGGTAGAAATTTAAGGGTTTCACAAGTTTATGATCCTGGTCAGGAAAGATTTTTTATGTCATTAATTGACACCAAAAATGCAGCAAATGGGATGTGCTTTATGTCTATTCAATTAAAAGAACAGTCATGTTCGGCAAATGCTGTAAAATATTATTTCACATCAAGGTTATTGCATGAAGAAAATCAAAGTGTGTTAGAAGAAGAGTTGTTAGACATAATGGATTCACAATTTTATTCACCAGAATATCTGTCCTTACTTGTTAGGCATCCACATAATGAGGATAGCACAATATTTATACAGTTGCCACTAAAACTTGCTTTGGCAAACTCCAATGATTTGAATTTAAAATCGAAAGCTTGTGTATTCAGTGACAAAATTGGAAAAAAAAATATTTCAACTTTATTAGATCAAAGTGCTTATAAAATTCTTGAAAAAATGGATGGCTATAGAATTGCGGTATCAGGTGGTCGAAAAGTTTCTGTAGTGTTATCAAAAAGCCATAGAAAAGTAAGAGTGTTTGAAATGGAAGTAAATGGTGAGGATGAAGAAGATGAAACTCTTGATTCCACCACCCCACCACAATCTCAGACAACACATGCAACTGACAGTAATCAAGTAACTCCTGGTCAACATCATACTACCACCGAAGATATAACATTTTAGTATATATGTTTAAAACAGCAATGTTATTACATTATATTCCACTGGTCAATTGTTTATTTAATTCAAAGTACCCGGAGGACCGGTTTGTTTTTTTTTTGGTAAATCGTGTATTTTGGAAATTACATTTAGATACATATTACTGAGTAATGAAATATGCATAATATTTTTCGATCTTACCGACGTAATAATAAGAAAATATGAACTGATGTTTTTCACAAAAGAAAGAACTTTAAAAAAAAGGGAAAAAAGTAATAAAATAACAAATCGACAAAAAATTAAAAATAAAGAAAGCAATGATCTGGAATCGAAAAAAAAGTAAAAAAATAAATGTGTAAATGATCGTGACGCGAACCACGGCCGTCTGTTTTGGGGCCGCCCGATTACCATATTCGAATTATATTTTTCATTCCCTGAAAACAGGGATAAAAGGACATTTTCTAAAAATGAAACCTAGCTAGATCGATTTTTCGCCCCCGAATCTATGCGCATACTAAATTTCATGAAAATTGCTGGAGCCGTTTCCGAGATTCCGATTATATATATACAAGAATTGCTCGTTTAAAGGATAAGATTCCGGCATTAGTGTCGAAATGCACAACATTATATAACAAATCGAGTCCGAAACATCTGTCTGTTCAACCAATTCCATGGAACTCTACCTATGAGACACTTTACCACACAGCGATATCTCTTTTCACTATCTTTCTTGGATACTGCAGCTGCTGTAATTGTGATACTTTACGTCCGCCGATCATTGGCGTATCTAGGGCTATTTTTCAGGGTGCGCCTGGTCCCTTACTACAAAAAAAATCGAACACTATGCGACCTACTCGTATTAAAATAATATCACTTCTTACTCCTACGTATCTTTGCATAGTATAAAACAAGTCGCTTGAGATGAACGCTTAGAAATTTTAAACTAGGCAACGAATTTTAGTGCGATTTTCAGAAATAAATGGTATTCAAGTGGAAGTTTAACATGTAGTATATGTGCATGTTATAGTAAAGAAAATTCGAGAAATTCAAAATCTACACTGCACCCGTGCGAAGCCGGGGCGGGTCTCTAGTTTCCTATATGATTATTCCTCAAGTAATGTTAATTCTCCGCATTGCTGAAAAGCTCCGCTCGCATCCGGCTGAACTAACTGGGATCACAATTGCAGTTTGAATTAAAAGCATATTTTTTTTGCATATTTAAAAAAAAAATTCAAAGATATGTCAAGACCGCCAATCCGCAGTGGGGTCGCGTGGTGGACTATGCCCTAATACCCTCTGTACAGAGGAGGCCTTTGCCCAGCAGTGGGGCATGTATAGGCTGATACTTACAAAGTTCAGCAGAGCCTCGCTCGGTTTCAATCTGCTTTTAGCGATGAAACACCATGCCAGACGACTATTTATAGCTGGTTTGAGAAATTCAAGCGCGGTCGTGTCAATCTCTCGTGTCTCGCGATGGTCTCGTGTCTCGCGATGGTCTCGTGTCTCGCGATGGTCGCCCTTCCACCGCTATGAACAACAAAAACATCGATGCTGTGCGCCGTATGATCGAAATAGGCATGTGACCTACCGTGAGATTCGGTCTTCTTTAGACATGGGCATGAGTCGAAGACAATCAATCCTACACAAACATTTGGGTGTGAGAAAGACCACACAATTTGACCGCGGCTCAAAAAACGGTACCGCGTCACTTGGTGCAATGCCATGCTTACCAGATTCAACGAAGGGGCGTCAAATGTGGTGTGGGTTATGTGTACTATGGTAACAGCTGATGAAACATGGATTTATTAAATGAAACTAGTTTCCGGATTTATCGCGTTTTTATTTTGATTTTGTAATTTGTATGGGTTTCCTTTCTATACACACTATGGCTCAAGGTGTTGTTAAGATTAATTCTTTGCACACCAAAATTAATTCACTATGGATATATCTCTCATAAGTTTGTGTGTTAAATGTTCGTAGCTTTTCCCCAAATTTTGTGTGCAAAAAGGCTGACATGGTCCAGTCTGAAGTGAACTTCATTTATAATCATTGACTACGGAATTTGTATAATCAAAAGATGTACTTAGTACTAAAAGAGGCACTGGAACTGCTGCTGGGGAAGTTATTGAACACTTTTCATTCGTGCTTCTCTTAAGAGATTGCTGATCGTTTTTCATAGTTTTGTTAAAGAAAGATCGTACATAATTTTTTTCATTTTATTTTAAAGCTGCAAGTCGATTCGCGTTGTGTTATAGCATATTAGCACGTCGTGTATTTAAAAGTAAATAAACCATATGTATTGTTAATAGCATGAAATATAAACTATATATGTATATAATTCTCGGCTGTAAATAATTTTTTTTTTGTGAAGTTTCATAGGCGTCCAGCCTAGAATTTCGAATCAGTAACCCAAAGTATCTTGTATTAACTGATGTTTTTGCTTTCAGTCCCGAGACTATTAAATCTTCATCTGACGCAGAACCGGTGGGCTAGCCAGAACCCACGGGTTTGGGCCTTCCGCTGTGGGTAGGGCCGCGCATGTGCTCATGCGTGCGTTTAACTACGACATGTCATCTAAGGGCCATCGAAGTTGCGGTGCGGACCGAGACCCCGATGGCCGTTGACTGTGTTTTTAGCTAATCGGTGGCTGGGGGCGGTGAGAACCGCCCTGGAACGCGGGTGTACCTTGTGTACGCGTTGTGTTGGTCTCGCCGTGCTCGGAGGCGAGGGCGAACTATTGTGTTTGTTGTTACACTAGCTGTGGGTGTAGTGTTATCCGGCGGGACCCCCGGCGGTGGGTCCGGCGTATGTAAGTCCTCGACCGGGTCGATGAAGACATTTCGCGGGCGACGCTTGTTCACGTCCGCGTTTGTGTCGGGTTAGTAATTTGCTGCGCTTACCACCAGAGGGTTGGGATGATGTTCCGCTCTATCGAAGAACCGTTTGGTCAGGTCTTTAAAATATTCGCGAATCCTCGGGATTCTGCAATCGCTGTGCAGATCGTAACGTTGATACCACTGCGCACCGGTTGCACGGCGGATGAACTTATTTTGTACTATTTGCAGCTTGTACAAGCGAACGGTTGGCATTGGGAGGACCCCAACTTTCTGTATTGGCGAGGGCCTTTATAAAGATGTGACGGGTAAGTACTTCGTGTGAAGTGAATCGCCACACGCCTTTCGGGATTTCGGGATTTACTTCTATTCTCCATTTGCGGAAATAATCGCCGAGGCGGTCGGCAGCGCTTTGGACACGAGTATTGGGTTGATTGAGATTTTTATCTGTGTAAAAGAGATTGACGTGGGGTCTTTGGGTATGTCGCTCGTGTAGAGCGTAAAGAGTAAGGGTGAGGGGCAGGAGCCTTGTGAGTATGTACAGCTGAGTGTGTACAGCTTGTAAAGCAAGCCGTTGTGCCAGACCTTGTTGAAGGCTTTTGCGACATCGAAGAAAAGAGCCCCCGTGCTACTATGTTTAGGGTGATATAGGCCTTTTAGGATTTGTTCCGTTAGGCGGTATAATTGATCAGGACAGGAATGTCTAGCTCGAAAGCCGAATTGTTCCGCCGGCAGAAGGCCGTTGGAAAACACGTGCTCTTTGAGCCTGTTTAATAAAAGCCGCTCGTAAAGCTTCCCCAGGCAACTGAGAAGGCTGATGGGACGCGCGGAGGGACTGCGCCGGCGTTCTGGCCTAGTTTACACAGGACGGGCCTGTAATCTGAATCTCGTTCATGGTCTCTATCGACTCGATGTCGAGCGAGACCTCCTTGAATAAAATAATATCAAGGATACTCAGTGTCGCGTGTTGGTAATTGTCCAGCGTAGGATACCTAGTGGGAGTCGCTGGTCGAAGGAGCGATTATGGTAAAATTTAAATTATCTTATATAGCTTAGATCGCCTGCAATTATAACGGAGGGGCCTAAATTGAGTAGCGTTTGTAGATCGCTTTGTAATAAGGATTTGTTCCCCGAGAGGTAGCCTGAGCTAGTACAAGCGGCCTGTGGCCGGTGAGCGCTAACCTACACGCGGATGCCTCTATATAGCTTAGCTCTGGAATGTCGAGTGGGCTACATTGCAAGGACCGTTTATAATAAATTAAAGTGCCTCCCAGACGTTTTGCTAACCGGTCGTGGCGGACTATGTAATAGTTTGCGATTCTGGGATCGCGTACGCCAGGTAAATTGCGATTTCGTACAGACCGATTGGACACCCCTTAGTGTCTTAAGTAATTAGTAATAAACTTAGGGCTTTTGTAATACCTTTATTAAATCTATATTTAAATTAAATAGTTTTTTTTATGAACCTCCGCTGTACAACCTGATAGCTTTTCAACGCGACGAGTTTTGATCTATAAATCACTATTATTTTAGTAATATAAATAAAAATGTTAATCTACAAAATAATTACTTTATTCAATCTGTTGTTTATCTTTCGTCTTATTAAATATTATATATGAGGTAAGTTAGTGATTTGGAGCAGACAGCCCGAAACACGCATGGTGCACACACAATATCATGAGACAGTTAGATGGATGTTTTTAATCACAGCGTGTCTTTGACAGTAATGTTTTTATCAGATAAAAAAAATTAAAACAGAACAGCATACTTATAATTTATTATAAAACACTTTAATATTAATTTCATGTAAACAATACATGTTTTTGTTTATCTTCGAAGAGTTCTTTATTCTTATAATTAAGATTATATAAAAATATGTTATTACTAATTTTTACATACATAATTTTAATTACACTACCTGTTAAGTACAAACAAACATAAAGTCTAAGCTATTAATAACTTTTAGTTATTTCCGTTAAGCAGCAAAATGATTCAAGAGTTTAATTTAAATAAGGCTTGGAGATGGTGTTTTGATCTGAATGTTTTCAAAGACTGAATTAAAATCTGTGTCCAATCCCTGGTTGTCTATGCCATATAATAAATGTTCAGATGATACATTCCTGCTGGGACCAGGAACTGGTGTAATAGTAGTTGTTGTACGGTTATAAATTTCATCTCCTGCATCGTCATCTTCTTCAGTTTCATCAACTGTAGAATTAAAATTCTTATAAAGATATATTCTATCATTAATCATAACACTAGAACTGGTGTTAGAAATTTATAATAATATATTTAAAAAAATATTTTTTTATGTGATGAGAATATTTACATATTTAAAAAAAATTGATATTGCAAAACCTAATCATAATTAGGAAATAGGAATGAGAATTTTTCAACTTTCTCACTTATACTAAGCTGTAAATTAAATAAAATTAACTTGCTAAGATCAGTTGTTTTAAGTAGATTAAAGTATAGAATGTTTAAAGAACTTTTATGTTTAATCACCAAGGACAAAACAAGAAAAACTGACATCAAAAAGAATGTACAGGGTCACATGGAAAATTAAGAAAAAAATATTTGCACCACCGAAAATCACTTGAGGATCAAATCAGAGGACCATCACCAGCATTGCTATAAGATCAGTGTCAGTGTTGTCATTAATATATTCACTAAAAATAAAGCTTTGTGTTATATTGTAAGAAAGGGGATTGTTAGGTTAGCTCTCAACAAATGATCGATTATGGTAAAATTTAAGTTATCTTATATAGTTTAGATAGACTGAAGGTGTCAAACCTTATGTCAATGCAGTAATATGCCGTGATAAAATGAGGAGTTGATCTTGGACAATGTTATGCAAATTTTATGCATCAACTGCAGAGATTTTCTTTAAGCAATATCAAAATAACCAAATTTTTATCACAACAACTTTTGTTTATACATATATAACATAAAATCATTTTGTAGTACTGAAATCATGTAACAAAAACATCTGAAATCTGATATAGCTGAAATTAGCGAGTTACTAGTCCAACTAACAAAAAAGGTCTGCATGTCTCACCTGGTACTACGGAATGACCGTCATATCTCTTCCATTGCTTTCTCAAACGATAATAAATAACAGCACAACCAATTAGAACAATAATAGAGACCACAATAGCAACCAATTTCATTGCATCTATAGCTGAGAATGCTGAGCCTTTTACTATCATCTCAACTTCTCCAGCTGAAATCTTTGACCCATCAAGGTGTTTGGACAAGCATACATAGTGACCCGATTCACTAGGGGACACATTCTGTAAATATAATAAACAATATTGCTTTCATATTATGTAATGTCCCTTGTCATATTTTTTTTAACACTACTACTTACATTTATTCGAAGTCTTCCTGACAAAACTTCATATTTATATTTTTTTTCATCAAAATCATTGTCTGGCCCTATAACTTTTGTTTTATTAACAAGCCAGAATAAAAAATTATGGTCATAATCATTGCTATTACAATTCAAGACTGCAGTTGACCCTGCAGGAACTTCTTTTACAATGGAAGGCTTAAACTCCGCTAACATTTTTACAATTTATTGGTCAATGTTGAGTGGGAATGATTTATATCATCAGGTTTTGACACAGCTTCACACTGACATGACTTTGCAAACATTATTTGTCAATGAATGTGTGCCAAGTTTAAAATTATCTACATCTCTGAGGTCATATTTTTCACATATAGAGTATAGTATAAATAAGATAAAATTGTTTTTGTAGTCATGTACTTAACTAATATCGACTACTTCTGCTGGAATGTTTAATTAGATGCATAAACACTTCAACACACAGAACCGGCAATAACATCCAAATCGGCGTCATTACGACGTGAATAGGGAGATACACTTTTGTATATTCAAGTTTAATACAGATTATTATTTGCGCTGCCATTTTGAGGCCAATTGCAGCAATGTACCACACATTTTTATTAATAGTCCCTCTGAATCTTTCTATACCATTTCTGCAATGGGAAACCATATGAAATAACACATATATTAGTAATATACTGTCGTACACCCACATCGGTATAAATACTATAAACCAGTTCCAGTGTGTTCTTGATTCTAATCTAAGACATAATAAAATTAGGAATACTAAAAATATAAACCACGTAAAGAGAGCTCTGTGCAAAATCGCCATTACGTCTATTCTATAATAAGAAAGATCAAAATTAAAAATAGGACAACATTCAACAATGTATACTATGTTTTTGACGTTAGGATTGTTATTATGTGACAGTGACAATAAATGACTGTGACAATAAGCATAGAGTAACTTTGTATACTTGAGAAATACGAATGAGAGACAATAAGAAAGAAATTTTTATTCCCTGATGGAGCCAATATACTAAAATTTAAATTGAATTGAAGAAAGAAATTGACAAGATATTGCTACACAATGACAATTGATTTTTTTATACTTAAAATGTCCAAAAGTTTGAACTATGGAGAAGTATCTGGTTATAGTAGTAGTAGTAGAAGTATGTGGTTTTATCTTTAAAACCTAATGATATTTTATACTATAGATATGTTACAGAGATGGCTTGGAAGGCTTACAAAATCACCGTTCAAAAGTGTTTCTATTTCCAGACAGATAGCACACATTCATACGTATAAATTAGAGAAGTAACAAAAGAAGACGGCAAGTGTTTGTCATAATAGCGTAAGTGTAAAGTAAAAAATCTCGAGTTTCATCCTTCTTTCGTATTAAACTTATTATTTGTTGCCTCTTTCTTTGTTTTCTAATCTACATAATTGAAATATTAGGGAAATAATTGAAATGCACTAAATCGAAGATATATTGCATTATGTACAAGTCAGCATTTAAAATCAACAATTTCATTGGTGCACCGGGGATCGAACTCAGATTGCTCGCATTAAAGGCGAGCCCTCGGACACTAATTTCATCAGGTTCCTTAACAACATAGCTGCTGTATAAAATATCATTTCAAAAGCGTATTTTTGTTTTTATGCTCCCAAGGAGAGACTGCTGAGGCAGCTAGTCATGGTAGGGTTGCAGAATTATGCAAGAATATTCCAACAAATAACCCATCTTTGCCCTTATAAGGGTGGGTACGTATAGGATTTCTCCGTTACGTGAAGGAAAAAACCAGCCAAGTGCGAGTCGTACTCGCGCACGAAAGCTTCCATACCATTATTTATTAAAACGGCAAAAATGTGTGTTGTGTGGGAGCCACGCTTAAATATTTATTTATTCTGTTTATTAGTATTTTTTGTTATAGTGGCAACAGAAATACATAATCTGTGAAAATTTCAACTATCACGGTTTATTAGAAACAGTCTGGTGACAGACAGACAGACAGCGGAGTCTCAATAATAGGGTCCCATTTTACCCTTTGGGTACGGAACTCTAAACAGAGGATTTTATTTCCCGCATCCACGAATGCCCTGGAAATATGTTTAAGATTGGCCATATAAGCGTGGGTATCAATGTCAAAGGCGAGCCATCTCACACCTACGGTTTGCTAATGTTGTAGCGTTCACACCGGCATCGGCCAAATGATTACACCACCCCTCACGAGCCTCGTATTGAGTGGCAGACACCTCCATACTTACCGCCTGGTATTCAATACCAGGGGAAAGGTTGGGCGCGTAGGCGAGCCTCCTGCCGCCTGGTCTCCAGCTACGGATATCATAGTGTTTGGACTCCTTCAAGGTGACAAAAATTTTTGCAATATGCGAGAACAGCACACCACGCTCTCTCGTTATCTGTCATAGCGCTAACTACGCCAGGTAGCGAGAGGCCTCATCAAACGATAACGCTTAGATTTTGGCTGGCTTGTTGTCCGTCTCGACAGAGGAATTCAACATTCAACAAAGAAGTACACTGTTCCGTTACTTCTTTACGTTAACAGTTCTACAGACCCTTAAGTAAACTGTCTTAGACCAGTGCGTCCGATCATTCATGACTTAAGATGCCAAAACGAAATCGTACTAATCTAAAACTGAAAGTCACTCGAGCGAGCTATGGAGATTTTTTACTTTCAGTGCAGTTATTGATTGTATTTTGATTTGTATGTAGGCTAAAATCAAAAATTGAAGACCGGCGTGAAGTGGAAATGTTATACTTCTGCTTTTCACCTGGTGAGTGAGGTAGCCGGGGCCCACTTTATTAAAGATGGCAAGGTATGTGCACCCTACGGGTGTTTCAAATGTCCAAGGGGCAGGGTTATCACTCAGCATCAGGTGAACCACCAGCTCACTTACATTCTCACATAAAAAAAAATAGCTTCATCGAATGCAGAGCTCGTGGGAAAGCCGGATCCCGCGAGCTTGAAACGGCCCTCCGAGTTGGGTAGCGCTATCCTTTTTCTCATGAGTGCGTTATCTAGTATGAGCACAGAACACTTTTACTCAAAGAGTATGAGGGAATATCACCCATAGACCATCAAGGTTCTATATGGACCTTGACACCGATGGTCATGGACTGTATTTATCGCTGGCTACGGTGGTGATAAATGTCCTGGGATGTGGGTGTACCTTGTGTACTCGATTTAAATTTGTTTTCATTTTGGCACAAGATTGAGGCATATGGATTTAGCTAGTAGCACCCAACTTCTAGCTGTGGACAAATAAAACCTAACTATGCCAATTTAACTAATTAATATTAGCCCTAATTAGTTACATTTCGTGGGTACGTTTTTATTTGAAAGTACATAATTATATTATTCATTTGTAAATCTAACGCCCGGTTTCAGAAACACTGATCCTCGCAGATGTCACCTAATCATATGTGAAATGGCTTTTCAAATGTCATTTCAGTAGGGATGGGTCGTATCGCTTTTTCTGAGTACCGTATCTGAATCCGATATCGATTTCAAATATCAGATTTCGAAACTATGTATTTTAATATCTAGATATTTTACGGTTCCCTATCCACGTTGATTAATTGAATTCTAAAAAAAAAAAAAAAAAAAACAAATAATTGTATACTTCAAGGGAGTGGATCTATGATGAATGAAATAACTTCCCTTCAAACTTTTTCCAGGCTTAGGACTGGCTGCAATATTTCATACTTATTATAAATATAAAATTGTGCAGGCGTATTTAAAAGTTTATTCATTCTATGTACATAATTTTCCTTATATTTAAAACTTAACATTATATATTTACAATTATGTCAGGGTTAATAATTATTTATATCCCTCCGGGTTCAAATTCACGTTTAGGAACGTAAGCTCTCTGACTTTATTCGTCGAAAGTCTTGTTCGACGATCATTAATAATTAACCCTGTCTTACTAAAAATGCGTTTTTTTAAATTATTAAATTAAAAATTTCATTAAAAATATAAATTGAAGTAATATAAAAATGATTTATTTTAACATCTTATATACCGCTTAATAATTGACTTTAACATATTTTTAGAACACGCAATCGAGTGGCAATATTTTTATTATTTGTGTAAGAAATAATACATTCAGTATTATAGCTTAGGGCGGAAGAATTTAAAATATACACACAAGGCACATAAGCCTTGGTCTGATTTCCACCAAAGCAGCACAGCACTATTAAATTATATTTTTCTTTTTGTGTACTTTTATTTTTTTCCAAAAATATGAATAAAATTTAGCTAATAAAAATATTCACAAAAAATTTACCTCCTAAAAAATTTCCATTGTATATTTTTCTTCCTTAATTTAGGCAGAAAATTCTTAAGTAGTAAGTTGGCATCCCTTACTATTACGTGCTATGTACCAATGCAATCCAGCTCAAGGCTGAACAAAATTTCAAAGACATCGTTAATACCGTAATTCGTATTTAAATGCAACAGAGTTTTTTTCCATGCTGTTAAGATTCAAAATTACTTAACTGCGCGCTTTGTCGCCCGTTACGGCTCAAGGCTAAACAAAACAATAAAAATATAATAATATCGTTGTAGTAATCGCTGATACCAAGATTAGTATTTAAATGAAACGGATCTTATTTGCATGGTGTTAAGATTCAAAATTACTTAACTTATTCATAATATCTGTTTAAAAATCTGATATCGTGCATTGCTTGCCGTCCCACTCTAACTAGTAAGTATTTATATCTCACGCGCTTTGTCGCTCGATATCTGATATCGTGCATTGCTTGCCGTCCCACTCTAACTAGTAAGTATTTATATCTCACGCGCTTTGTCGCTCGATATCTGATATCGTGCATTGCTTGCCGTCCCGCTCTAACTAGTGAGTATTTGTATCTCACGCGCTTTGTCTCTCGAAATCTGTTTAAAAATCAGATATTGTGGCAAACGCGTATGATATCGCCGTATCGCGATTCGTGTCGGTATAGCGAGCGAGCACGGTACATCAGATTTCGGAAATATCAGATATTGTAAAATACATAGATATTGAACGAGCCAGTAAGCGATATTGGGATATTGTACTAATATCTAGTTTTCATATCTGATACGATTTGTATCGCCCACTTCTACATTTCAGTTACCAAAAGGATGGTTAAGCTTTGAATCGTCATTAAGACCATTCTGGTCAATTCACGTGTTTCAGAAATTTCCCTTGAGTTCGCGGGTTGTTTACCCACAGACCTCATCCGAAGAAGTTGTTAAAGCCACCGGGCTAACAGCTACACAAAAAAAACTACTTATTCTTTATATTTTAGTCTAAAAAAAAGGAATGTAAAGATTAGAACAATCTTTGCGTATGAAGTGTCCATTAAAACGGGACCAATTGGTAGTGCTACTGTGTCATGTGCATTTGTGTAAAATTACACACGCTATTGTAATGTATTTTTGAATCCTTATTTACTACTAACCGCTGGACACTTCTTTAAATTATCTCCCATATCCTTCTTATCTCTACACTTTATACTGAAAAAGTTAAATGTCTGTTCTAGTTTCACAAGAGACGGACTGATTGGCTGTATTGAAAAATCCCAAGATAACAAAAATAACAATAATAATTTTACAAATATTCTTACTGACAGTGACAGTTATTTGTTGTTTTGTTCTCAAATTCCCAACTTGACCTAACCTAAGAAACTAAGAATAGTTCGAATTACGAGATAACGAGAACTGTTACGCAGTGATAACCAAAGAGTATTTTGTTATATTAGTGATAACTATAAAATCTGTGTTGTTGATAACACCATTATGAGCTAATAATGTTTTATTCAATTTTATTTTATATTGGAATTAAAATTAGTGTAATAATTATTATTTAACAGGGAAATATTTAAGACAGTTATTCTCATTTATTCAGAAAAATGATGTATCATATAGCTTTGTTACTTATTGCTATAAAAATAATTTTCATACCTTTATAGTGAGTATATTAAGAATATAAGAAATCTGTATCAGATTAAAGATCCCAGCATTTTATACTATAAACTTAATTTTCTTTTAGTCACTCGACAGATTTCGAAGTACATAGAAATTGGTTAGCAATTACACACAATCTTTCTACTGAGCAATGGTATTATGAAAAAACTTCAGAATGGACTTTAGATTATCCTCCACTATTTGCTTGGTTAGAGTATGGGCTATCCTATATAGCAAAATATTTTGATCCCGAAATGATAAAAGTACAAAATTTAAATTATGAGTCACAGCTGACTATTATATTTCAAAGGCTGTCTGTAATAATTTTAGACTTCTTATACATTTTAAGTGCTAAAAGGTATGTATAAAAAAGAGATGTGGAGTAATTTAGAAAAAAGTTGGCTGTCATGGTATACTACCAAAATATTTAACAAAGCAGCTCTAAATTGAAAAAAATAACATATACACTAAAATTATGTTTAATTCTGTTTTATTTTCAGTTGTTCTAACCTTATAGGAAATGGAAAGTTGTTGGTGTTTGTTTTATTAACTACAAATCCTGGATTGTTAATGATCGATCATATCCATTTCCAGTACAATGGATTTTTGTTTGCCTTTCTTATGTTCTCAATTTCTAACATGATACAGGTAACTTCAAATGTTTTTATGTTTAGATTATTTATATTACTCTTTAATTTATTGGCATTGAAACATGGCAAGTCTTTCAGCAACCATATTCAAATGGTTGGTGAAATTATAATTTCAAATATATTTATATATTTAGTCTTTTTCCAAATGCTACACATGGTAACATGTTTTCAGTTTTTTATAGTTTTAAGTTTTAATATGTGAAATTCATAGATTTTGTGGTATTGAATAAAATCTTACCTAAAGGTTTAGAACTTTACCATGCAGTATTTATTTTTCTTGGTTTTATTCATAACACATTTTGCATTAATAAGAAATTATTTGGACATTTTTATTTCAGGAAAAGCATTTGCAAGCAGCAGTTTTGTTTGCCGTTTTGCTTAATTTAAAGCATATATATCTGTACGTGGCTCCAGCTTATATAGTGTACTTGTTAAGAACATATTGTTTCACCGTTTCATCTACAGATGGAGTTCATACTGCTTGGTACTCATTTTCTATGAAAAATGTAATAAAATTGGGTATCACTGTTGTATCAGTATTTGTTATATCTTTTGGACCATTTATCAAACATTTGCCTCAGGTAAACATTTATAATTTAGCGGCATAACAGTATGAATTTATTAATTTGTGCAATTATTGTTTTATTTAAGGTCATATCCAGGCTCTTCCCATTTAAGAGAGGGTTGTGCCATGCATATTGGGCACCTAATTTTTGGGCTTTGTATAATTTTGGAGATAAATTACTACATCATTCATGTGAGTTATTGTAACAAACAGATTTATCTTCTTTATTCTCCTTTTTCTTTCTCCAATATATAGCTATGAATGAAATAACTGAACACACATATAGGGGATAACTTTTTAAAATTGTATTAAACATTTACATTCTTTAAACATCAACAGTTTTCAGTTATTACATTTTCCAAAACAGAACTTTAGAACACCCTTATGTATAAAACTGTAACATAAAGTTCATTTGTAAAGGTGACAAAGCATATGAATGGGTTGAATGAATTTGAAAGAGACAAAACATACTTTTAGAAGGAGAGGTAATGCGACGCTGTGGCGCGAGTTGTACAGGATGTTACAAATTTTGTTTCTTTTTTACTTAATTAGTTTGTTTGAAAAATATTTTTTTTAATTATGGATTTTGTTTAACATTAAACAAAATAATTTTTTTTAATGATGATGGCAAGTAGCGTTAGACATGTGTTCATTTATTGTCGCGATGGTAACGACACGCTGTATAATAAAGAAACAGATTTGCCATAACAAATTTATTTATTAATGATGTGTAGAAACATATGTATTAAATTACTGCAATTTTTCATATGCAATTAATAATTTTGAAAAAAATCATGGTATTCTATGCTTGCATATCTTTCATTCATGTTCTACAATTACACCTGGAGTAACATCAACTACTTAGTGCAAAATAAATTCATCTACATTGCTTACCGAAGTATGGAATCCAATTACCTTAGTTCGGCATAGGGATTGTTAATTGTTGGCTCCTGATATTACGCTACCCTTTATAAAGTAAACAAAACTCTTATTCTTGGAAAAAATCTTCCCCTTGCCCTTGGCGTTAGTTGACGTTAATTACCAACCGGATCCAAAGAAAAATGTGAAAAACCTTGGTTTGACCATTACACTTATCGGGCAAGACCAAATTAAAAGCATCAGTAAAAGAGTCATTTGTGTCATGCATAGTCTCTCGTCTTACGAATTTTTGCCAACAGTCAAAATTTTTTTAAGGCCTCAATTTTTCCCTTTGATCGACTTTGTTTCTTTGATATGAATGCAGATCATCTTAATAAAGTTGACTGATTTCTGAATAACTTTATTTGATTCTTCTTCAATCTTCGCAAGGTGCACTCTTGCGTTCCAGTCTAAGGCGGTCTTCAAAGCTCCTAGCCAAGGAATAACGTAGTCGATTTTTTTGTGGCAAGCGAGCTGGCGGTTCACCTGTTGTTAAGTGATAACCGCCGCCTATGGACAACACCCTTAGGAGATGCAGATGCGTTGCCACCTTTTAGTAAAGTGGGATCCGGTTGCACTCTCACCAGACGAAACGCAGAAGTATAACACTTTTACCTCCCCCTGGTCTTGTTACTTCTCCGGATGAACCTGCCCATGCATTGCCTTTGCACAAGCTCTGTGCTCATGGAAGATATGTAGTATGTGGACTGAGAACGCACACATCTACTTTTAACAATCATTAACATTTGAACACATTGATTCTTATAAAATTATATACCTATATGGTGAAAAATAAAAAATAATGTTTACTATTATTTCAGTTAAAGAATTTGGGAAAGAAGTCAAAATAAATGAGGCTTCTATGACTGGAGGTTTAGTACAGGAATATGAACATGCTGTTCTGCCGTCTATAAGGCCTAGTACAACGTTCATTTTAACATTATTGACCATGATCCCAGCACTTGTTAAGTTATGGTACCTCGGAGCTGATAGAATGTATAGAAGTGTGAGTTTTGTAAGGTTGGTATACATATTATCTTATGTATATCTTTTCAATATTCAGTAGTACCTATGATGAATTACGTAAGATATCGTGAATAAATAAATTCGACATTCATTAAAGGAATAAAAGCGGTAATGTAACATAGACTACACCTTATATGTTTTTGTAAATTAATTGTTTTTTTTTTATATATTGTGTTTTCTTTTCGTTTAAGGTGTTTGACAATCTGTGCAACCTGCTCGTTCATGTTTGGTTGGCACGTTCACGAAAAGGCTATCTTGATGATTTTAATCCCATTAAGGTATGTTTTATTTCTTTTTTTTTACGCTGAGAGCAAGATATAAGTAAATTAAATTTTGGCATAATAAGTACTTTCTTTCATATTGCTATAATTTTTTATTTCAGTTTCTTGGCTGTGCTAGGCGATATTGATGGGAGGCTATTTTTATTGTTATCGACCGTCGGTCACTATTCACTTTTTCCCCTGCTTTACCCCAAATATCTTTTAGCAATCAAATTGCTTATATTGTTGACGCACTGTGCAATCGCCTTTGGGCACGTCCCGGCGTTATACGACGTTCCTAAATCAAAGGGCGTAAAAAGAAGAGGCTTTTTGCGGTTGCCGATGCTAGGCAGGCTCGAATCATTATACTTGTATGGACTGATGGTGCTTTGTATTTACGAAAATACTTTCCACATCACATTGGGCCTGGATAAGCGGTTGCCATTTCTACCGTTAATGTTGACCTCGGTTTACTGCGCCTTTGGAGTATTGTACTTTTTGGTGATGTATTATTATTACTTCCTAACATTCAATTTAAGTAAGCCACCTGCACAAAGTGCAAAAGATTCCACGCAAAGAAATAAAAAAGTTAAATAATTTTTATATTATTACGCTTTGTTTTATTTAAATTTTTGTTCCTTGAATCTACAGACTCTAGCAATGTTCCATATGTTATTTTAGGCACTCGTTACATGAAGTATGGATTATAAACATAAAGAAAACAGACTTTATAACAAAATGTACTTAATAGAGCCGTGATAGTTCAGTGTCCGGTCGCTCGCGGTTAATTCTATTTTAATATTCAAGCAAACTGCATTCAAATCCGGTGCTTGCACCATGAAATTTTTAATATTAAATGCTTATTTATCATGTTCTCAGTTGTGAAGGAAACCTTCGTAAGGACATTATAACAAAATATTTCGAAGATATGTGAAGTCCGCCAATCCGCAGTTGGGTCGCGCGGTGGACTATACCCTAATACAGATGAGGCCTTTACCCTGTACTGGGATATATGTAAGCTGTTGCTTTATTTTTTACTTTACTAATGGGTTTTGGCGTACTAATGGTGTAGAAGTTATTAAAGCAGGTTCCATCATGCGGGTTAACTGTGGATTGATTGATTTAAGTATTTTCGAAATATTATTTATAGTATCTAAAACATTTGTGGTTGTTTAGCGCTGCGCACCTGTTAAATTGTGATATCGCAATATGAATTTGAGTTTTTGTTCAAGGGGAATAATTTAAAAAAAAGCGCCCGGACAAGGGAGAAGAAGGTACCTTCTGCGGCCAAAATAAATAATTTCGATAAAAAAAAATAGGATTGAAAGTTTTTACAATTTCTTAAACGTCAAATCCGTCACTGATTTTTAAAACTATGGCTTCATAAAGTTAAAGTTTTTGAGAACCCAAAATGGTTATTTATAGTTACGGGTTCAGCCTTTTTCATGTTATGTTATCTTTTTTTTGTTACGGACTAAATTATACGCATTTAATCGTATTGCATTTATTTTACACATTAACAAAAAAGTATATCTTGTATTGTACAAAAAAAAACGTTATTAAGCCTCGATTAGAAGAGTACCGGCACGACGAATACAAATTCAAGAGTCAAAGAGTTCAAATTCTAACAGTACAAAAAACAGTATACATCATGTTTTCGCAAAGTTTTTGCATTTTTATCTACCCCGTTCTGTTTTGTCCAGAAAAACACGCCACGCACTGGTGGCGGCAAAATATCGTTGGGGGCGCATTTCGACCCGCCGCCGCACCAGATGATGGTTTATGATTTTATGTGCCGCAGCCAAGGTGTAAATTGTAATTAAATATGACAGATGACAGATGATATACATAGATCTGACGTCAAAGTACATTGGACGTATCAAAACTGAACCCTTAGTGCCCGAGTCCGACTCGCACTTGGCCGGTATTTAACTTTATATAAACTTACAATCATCATCATTGTATAGCCCATATTTTATAATAGTTAACTATAGATTTATGCAGTTCAACTGTAGCTATTATGTAGCATTTTAACGCATAAATCTTCAATGTGGTTCTTTAAGTTGATGTAACTTTTTTTATTAATGAACCGATTTAAATATAACTAACCTTAGATGGTTCTTCAGTTTGAGTTAAATTTTAGTGCTTCCGATTGCATGAGCTTAGGTCGAATGTTGACTTCCCAATATCGATAAAAACTTCTTTACATATAATAAAACTGTAACTGATCGTTGTCTGTACATGGAAGATATTTGAGAAAAACTATTACTGGGGGTGTTTAGCAATGCAATAGAACACAAAACAATTATTGTTAAAATTTTTGTCTGTTTGTCTGTGCGTTTATGCACTCTTATCTTTCCCGCCGGATAACACTACACCCACAGCAACAACAAACACAATAGTTCGCCCTCGCCTCTGAGTACGGCGAGACCAACACAACGCGTATACAAGGTACACCCGCGTTCCAGGGCGGTTCTCACCGCCCCCAGCCACCGATTAGCTAAAAACACAGTCGATGGCCATCGGGGTCTCGGTCCACACCGAAACTTCGATGGCCCTTAGATGACATGTCGTAGTTCAACGCACGCATGAGCACATGCGCGGCCCTACCCACAGCGGAGGGCCCAAACCCGTGGGTTCTGGCTAGCCCACCGGTTCTGCGTCAGATGAAGCTTTAATAGTCTCGGGACTGAAAGCAAAAACATCAGTTAATACAAGATACAAGATACGCTTATCTCAGAAATGGCTTAACCGATTTGGTTGCAACTTTCACTAATGCATTGAAGTAAGCTTCACTTAAGATTTAGTGTTATTTTTAGCTACAGTTGAAGTGGATAAAACTATATTTAATTATATATTATTATGGTCTGTAAAATGATGATGTTTTTAAGTTTATATAAAGTTAAAAAAATTCGGCCAAGTGCGAGTCGGACTCGCGCACGAAAGGTTCCGTAGGTACTTTTTAAGTACGATATAAAATGTAGTACAAACACGCGGGCGGAGTCGCGGGCGAGAAGCTAGTTCCTAATAACACAAAAGAAAAATGGACTTTGTGTGTTTTGCTAAGCTAGTGTGCTTATCATTTAATACAGTAATAGTATTATAATTTATTATTAACTAACACTTAAATAGTTTTTACTGTAAAATATTTTTTTTAGTCTTTGGCATAGCGAACCAAAATAAGAAGAAAATTTATTTTTTTGTATCTACTAAGCGTAATCACCACAGCTAATTAAGAATCGATCGGAAGAATGTTTAAGGAACGTATAGAGGGCAAACATACACATGTTATATTTTATTTCAAAGAATATAATTTATTATGTTTTCATTGTTAACATTAAGTATAATTCAAATTGAAGTTAGTTTGAATGTGTTCAGAAGGATAAACTTCTGTAATATATGTTCGCGTTTAAGATCATTTGAACGTTTATGTAATACAATGCAGGCATCAAAGGACACGTACACGTGTTTACAGTGAATAAAGGGAGGCGCACATCGATCACGATATGAATATTCATTGGAGGGTAAAGGCACGAGCTGTGGATGGTGACGAGATGGCTGATTACACGCAAATTGCTTCGTGTTTGAAGAAAATTTCGCACGGATATTTCCCGAGTTACGGTCTGTAACCGTAATTTAACGCGATAATAGTTAAGAAAAAACCACCTATCAGTATGGGATAAAACATCAATGGCCGAGTAAATGTACAAAACATACCCTTAGATATCTTCTGTTAGATTTTTCTATTATTTATATAACAAGCGGCTATACTGGCTTCCTCTACCATCAAATGGTCTTATTAAATGTCAGATATGTTTTAAGAAGAAAAAAATAGTCCCTTTTCTTTTGAAGCTGGTTGGGTAAAGTGACAATTGCACCAGAGAATTTAACTTTTTATTTTAATTAACATTAAATAAATTATTAACATTAATGTAAATAACATTAAACTTATTAAAATAGTTCCCGCCATTTCGGAGATTAGCCGTAACAAAAAAAAAATAGACAAAAACATTTTCAAAATTTTGGCACTTATACGTAATTAATAAGTAAAAACAATTAATATGCATAGGATAAAAGACGTTATTTAAATATATATTCATCATCATCATCTTTTCAACCTGTTTGAGTCCACTGCTGAACATCCGCCCGCACAGACTGCCACAAAGTACGATACTGCATCCATCGACTTCCCAAACACTTGCTGTCGTCGCTGCATCTAGTGGGGGGTCGTCCCACACTGCGATGGCCAGTACAAGACTGCCAATCGAGAACCTTTTTTCCTCAACGGTTATCAGTTCTACGAGCTATATGGCCAGGCCATCGCCACTTTAGCTTACTAATCTTTATAGCTATGTCAGTTACCTTTGTTCTGCGGATGATGTCTTCGTTGTGAACTTTATCACGCAGGCAAATACCGAGCATAGCCCGCTCCATAGCTTGCTGAGCGACTTTGAGCTTCCTCATACGGTCAGCGGTGAAGGACCACGTCAAAGTTCTGTAGGTCATCACTGGCAACAAACATTGGTTGAAGACTTTAGTCTTCAAACATTGTGGTATATTAGATGAGAAGATTTGCCAAAGTTTACCGAACGCTGCCCTTCCGAATTGGATTCACCGATTGACCTGTGCGTTGAATTTGGGCTTACCTAGCCAGTCTTACTGTACTAGGTATACGTACTCGTCAGATACATAAAGTGTACATACATGATACTTATAATAACTGACAATTCAATTTAATTTATTTATGTTATTAACATATTACAAAAAGATATCAATGTTATTTATTTGTATAAATTAAAACCGTTTTTGATTTGCGCCTTGTCGGATAACGAATGTTGTAAAATATTTCATATTACGTTTCATTTCACATTTCCTCTTCGACAACAAAGCAATCAATTTAACTAATTGAAGACAAGTTGGTCCAGTTGTGTCTTTGTATTTTGTTACATTTTATTTGCTGTAGACCTGTTTTAGTCAGATTATTTAATTAAGGTTTGTTTTAAGCTTATACATAATAATAATGATTTAAACTAGCACAGAGCTTCTTTTTTTAGAAATCGGTACTTCAAACGACCTTTATCAAATTGCTCGTTGACCTGTAAGCGAACAAAATGTTTTCTTCGCTCTTCAATGTTCTTTCATACGGGGCAATAGGTTTAATTCTTATGATTAAATAAAGCCTGTCCATGGATCTTATAATGCGACATTCTTGCTTTTACTCACGTTATTGAGGAGATAGATACAACAATATTGTTGCCTATATCTGTTTTTATATTACGCTATACAAGACGTTAATTATTATTTATTACCGGGCGCTACTGAATACACAGACAAGGGTATTTAGCCTATCAAAGTTCATGTTATTACTTATACGATTACGTCTACCTTCGGACAATTAATGTTTTATTTCAACTTTTTATTTTATTTCTATATAGTTAAGCGGCGAAAAATATTATGTACCTATATTGTTTACCATCACTATAATTTTCATTTGTGTTTTTTTGGTTAAATATTTTTCATTCACACATGAGCTGATAGGTAAAGTTATTCGTAATAGGTTTAATCGTTCGATTCGTCGGTTTGGAAGTTTCGAAATAAAAGTGAAATGGAGCGGAAGGATTTGCTCATTCAGATTTGTGATTCAGCGTTTCTCGGCTCCAATGGCGGTCTCCGAAACAAAAGTGTTTCACGTTATATTTTTAAGATGTTAAACGGCCTATTAAACGTAAATACGAAACAGACGGGGACGCGAACAGCTGATCAACGTTTTTATTGCTGTGAAAACAATTGTTTGTACGACTGCGTTAGAAAATTTTCTTAAATTGTAGAAATTTAACGGTTTTGTTATTGCGCTATGCATCGGAATTTATTTGTTTTTAGAATTTACTTGTGCATTTTATTTTCGTCTATATTTGAACGTTGGATATATATTTTGTAATTTCCTATAAAAAATCAATTTCCCTATATTCCTAATCTATAGGTAAATAAAATAAACAAAATAATTAAAATTAAATAATTAGATAATAAAATAATTAATAAAATAAATAAAATAATTAAAATTAAATAATTAGATATCGGAATTTTTCAAAGATTTCACGGCTGCCAAAAAAGAAAACCGACAAAAAAGAATTCTTTTGCCCATAAAAGATATTATTTTGCGTGCTGCGAAAAATATTGACGATACCTATATAAAATAGTGTTATGTGTATTTATATTATTCATGTTTGCTATATTCAAAAATAAGCTATATTTTAACCCCGTATTCCCATGGAAACGGTAGCTACGCAGGTGAAATGAATTATATTTATACCATGCAAATTAGCCGAGCGACACAACTTTCGCTGACGTAGTCGCGGGCGAAGTGCTAGTCTAAAATAAACATGTGAAAACCAAGCGTGGGTCTTCACTCGGGTGTCGCTAAGTTGGGGCTCATTTAATCACATGGCAGAGCGCACCCGATCAAAGGCGTACATAGCAGCCTTGTGAGAGCAATCGTCTGTGCCTGGATTCAATGAATAACACACCTGACACACTTGTCCCCTTATCATTTGTTTATTAAGCTATACCTATTTTAGTCAATCCGTGATAGCTCAAAGTCCGCGCGCTCACTTTTAATTCAACATACTCGAGAAAACTTAATTCAAATCCCGGCGCAGGTACAATTCAAATTGTTAATCGCAATTTTAAATGGATTATGTTCTAACACCATCTTTACAGATGAGGCCTTTGCCCAGCAGTGGGACCTTTAAAGGATGTTACTTTACTTTTACTCACCTATTTAAACCATAACGCGCGCTGATGAAATAACTAGCGCCCGCCATTGTTTTCATGAGTTTTATTCTATTACGTATGCTTATTCTAACGCACAATGTAGTACCCAATTTTTGACGCAATTTACGCTAATCGGGAATGTAACATACTGTACGAAAACTACAATAAAGAGTTTATTTCTTAATCAGTTCTTTTTATGTGCGTTGTGTTCTGCCGTAAAAAAAATTATAGACTCTATTTCTTAAGTCTATAAATATTGTTTTTAAAAATTCCATCCCCAAAAATAAATGACAACAAACGCCCATTTGCGACAAAGAGGTCAAAAGAAGTTTTTCGAAATAATGTTCAGCGGACAAGGAAACGGGTAAAACGACAACAATAGAAGCTCCGTTCACGTTTGTCAAATCGCAAACTAAGCAGAATATTTCGTATTCATGTGAGCTTGTCCATCTCGAATCGGTAATAACTTTGAACATTTTGTAAGTTTTAAGGTTTCAAGTTTCTGCATTCGGTACATTAACATAACTTTATATTCAGTGGCGTCGGTAAGAACTTACTGGTGACGTCGTAAATTTTGTCAAACTTACAAATACACGCTTTGAAAATTGTAATTCACAAGTTATAGCCGTTATGAATCACGTACATTCGTAAATACATTTCGAAGGTAATAAGGTGGTGAGGTTTGGGAAACGTGTTTGGGCGTGGTAATAAATGTGCAAAAAATTTGCAGACCAAATTAAATACTAAGACTAAAAATAAATACTTACTAAACTCGATGTTTTCGTTTATTTCATTGTTTTGAAACAAGTTAAGATATTAATTGTTATTGTTATCTACGGATACTGATAAAATATACTATACATATACTGCTGCGGAACTTGTATTGAACTCATACGTTACACTAGACTTTCACACCTTGCACATATTGAACTCTTTATGTCTTTTATATTTAACTTAAAATTATAATTCATAATGATAATTAATTAAAACCAATAACTTAAGTATCTTATTTGAGCTTATCATGCTTTAAATGGTAAAATTAGGTTGAGTGAAATCATTATGAATTTTAATTTCTTCATTCAAATTATTAATACAAAAATAATTATGCTTGATTATTTAATTCTTACTTTTAATTTCTAAATTTTTCATAGTAATTGTTTATTCATAACAGTTTTGTGTGACATACATATTTACAATAGGTAGGTATTTAAACTCCATGATCTATTATAGTTAAAAATGTTCATATCTTTGACAGTAGACAGATGTTTATACTTTATTTATACGTGATCTATACAAATATTTATAAGTACATGTGATGAAAACATTTGCTATAGCAATAATTTTCTTAACAAAGTCAAACCAGGTTTTGTTAATGGAAAAGTAAAAATGGCCGAAGAGGACGACGAAGGAACGTTCGGTGGATTGTATGAAGACGGTCATTGGATTTGGGACGATACAACACAAGCTTTAGTTTTTATTAGGTTAATCAAATTTTAGTAGAATTATTATAAATATAATACTAAATGGAAATGTTCTAGATACTTTACTGATTTATTTTCGTAATGAATATCATTGTATTATTTTTCGTAACATTTTTTATGTATTTAATTAGTTCATCATTTAAAATTGAAATGTTAGGGTGTTTTTGTGTGTTTACTAGTGATTTGCCGCCAAAACCAGTGGAAACCTTTCAAATACCGACAAAAGCACCTACGGGTACAGTCGAGTTCAGAGATGATGTGGACCTCATCGAACAGGTGATAATTTTAACTGTTAAATAGTTCATTGTTTAATTAGTTTCGTTGATTTTTATGTATTATTTTATTTAGTGAATTGCTTAAAATTCCAACAAAACAGTAACAGATTGAATCTATAGAGATAATATAGGTACTTAAGTTATAAAACATTTCTACTTTTGGTATACCGTGTATGTTGTCTTTTTTTATGTGAATACCGCCGCCCTGGACACCTGCTACACCCGAGGGTTACAGATGCGTTGACAACCTTTTGAAAATTGGGCTCCGGTTACCTCACTTACCAGAAGAAACGCGAAAGTATTTGTCATATTTCCACTTTACGCTGGTCTTCTGTGAGGTCGTGGTACTTACCCGGACGGGCCTGCCCATTCATGCAAGATCCGAGGCTGCTGCGTGGCCCTACCGCCGTACCTACCTTAAATTATGTACAAAAAAGTTAGTTACAGTTAATATTAAGTTAATATAATTTATTTATGATGTATTGTAAATGATAACTAATTATTACTTATGAACCGCTCCTATAAAGATCTCATGTAATTTCATACTTTACCTTAAAAACTTCGGTTTTTTTATTTTTTTAGATTCGCTTCAGGCGTCGCTATCAAAGAAAATTGAAACCGGGGCAAGCTGATGTTATAACATTACAGGTTAAATATGTATTTTATTTATTTTCTATTACTACTCATAATTTCCACCACTTTTCTTCTTCTTTCTCCTTATCTCACATTAGGTGGGGTCGGCACAACATATCCTTTCCTTCCACTTTTCTATCATTACTATGTACTACGTATTACATATTATTCTTCTCACCGTCTTGTAAATCTCCTCTTTGAGTTTTAGGGGTCCTGTTGACATTTCACCGAATTTGCAATTATCCTATTTGTGACATCTCGGTCAATGCCGCCGTCGTTTTTAACCAATGACCCGAGTTACTTAAAATCCAATTTTCAAAAGGTTGTCAACGCATCTGGAACCCTGGAGTGTAGCAGATGTCCATGGGCGGCGATATTCACTTAACATCAGGTGAACTGTCTGCTCGCTTGGCAACTTTTCGCATAAAAAATATATGTGAGGAACTGGATGCGCCACCGAAATCGCAAAACAGGTGTTCTGTTTTGGTGGTACTTATCTTTAGACCAATGCTTTCCAGTCTCACCCGCCATTTTTCCAGTCTACTCTGGACCCCGGCTGCATCTTGTCCAACAAGCAAAATGTTTTCGGCAAATAGCATAGACCAGGGTGCCTCCTCCTGTATGTTCGATGTCAGTGCATCCATAATCAGGAGGAAGAGATAAGGGCATAATGCCGATCCCTTATGTAAGCCTACAGCCACATTGAACTTGTTGGTAATGCCAGCTTCAGACCGGACTTGTATACAAGCTTGTACTGGCACTTACAATCCACAAGTATTTTCCAGGCACTCTTTTCTCTTTCAAAACCCACCACAAAAGCTGCCGGGGTATCCGGTCATATGCCTTCTCCAGATCAACATACACCATATGCAGGTTTATACGCGCACGTCTATATTTTTCGCTGGCGCTTTGGCTGGCTTTACGGCGTCCGTTGACCCACGATCAGGCATAAACCCGAACTGGTTTTGGGTCACATTACTCTAATCTCTAATACATCTTGCTATAATCTTCTCCCAAATCTTCTACGTTCTATGTGACATGAGCTTTATTCCCCTATAGATATTGCAGTCCTGTACATTATGTACATTCTTTTTTTTATAAATGGGCACCAACTGCTGCACCATTCGTTTGGGATCGCCTCAGTCGGCAATAATTTATTGAAAAATAAAGCCAGCGACTTCAATCCATCAAGTTTTAAACACTTCCATGCCTTTTCATTCTTCAAACCTTGCACTGCCTCTTTCACTTCCCGCTCATCAATCGGAAGCACCATCGCCATATTTACCGGTGTATTTTCAAAAATTCCGCTCCAATAATTTCTTTCATTCAACAATCTTTCAATGTATATTTTCAACCGTTTCCTTATTTCCTCATCATTTCCAATGTATTTCATACATGTTATATGCGTACACCCCTTAGCATTCTTTTCTTTCGCCTTTGCCAAACGTTTCAGGTCTTTTGTAATCTTTCTTTTAACGTAACCACCTTTTGAAATTAGTGTTAATGACAATGTGATATTATTTATTCTTACAACAAGTTGTGTTATAGTACGAGCACAAGGCTATAAGTTTATTGCTATGCAGCATCATTGCACAGTGAGCTCATAGGCTTTCAATAAATTGGTATGGACGGTATAGCACTCATAATTTTTTTTTGATTTACAGGACGTGAAGGATATAGCTTTGTTCACAGCTCCCGTTAATATTATGAGCCCTATGCTAATAAATTTGCTCCATTTGCCTACCACTGAAAGATTCATTCGAGCGCTTATTATTTACTCACAGTATTATTTGCAGGTAAAATGTCGCAGAATATTAAAATCGTTATAAAAAATTTGTTTAACCTGCTCGCCTATAGTAAATTACTAATTAGAATAATATCGCTGTAGATTGTGTTTTTTTGTTGAATTTACTTTTTTTTTTTTATTTAATTTTTTTTTTTTTAATTGTACTTATAGTATTTGTATTTTCTCTGTAAGTGATTTGGTTTGTTAATCTTTTGAGAAAGTAAATGTCTTAAACCTTAGACTGCAGATGAAATGGCTCGACGTATTTTAGAGCTTGATACCAAAGTCCGCACGCCGCAATGTCGGGTTCTCGAAAGCGAATTTCGGGATAATTTGTCAGATTTACGATTGTTGGTCGCCAAGGAATACAGTACGATGATTATAGGTGCGTCAATTAGGAGTATATAATATGCGATTTTTAAATCAATTTCAAATAAATTTACAGCCAGTTTCAATATTAAATCTACAGACAGATTTCGTTACTGGAGATAGAATTTCGACCCAAGTATTATGGAGCTAATGTCAAATAACAATCACTGGTAATCAAATCTATCTGTAGATATAATATTAAAACCGGCCGTTAATATATAACAATTTAATGGACGTCTTTAAATGTTTGGACTCTTTTCGGCGGAAGGCGGTGGCGATACGCGAAAATTTCACCACATGGGTGCGCAGAAGAAGAGGAAATCACTGTCCGACAAAGATGCGCGGCTCTTCGAAACTTTTCTGCGGATGTGCGTTCAGATAGTTTGGTTGGCATTAGGGCGTAAATCTTTTAACCAGATCGGTTAGTACACGCCTTTATTCGCGTTATCGCTAAACTCAAGTCACTTTACTCGGAACTGCATAGGGTCCTGATATGCTGTATTGTATTGCTATGTCGTCATTTTGTGAAAAAGTGGAATATTTATTTAAGAATTGGAAATAAATCGGATATTTAAATCGGAGATATTCAACACTGCGGAGCATACTTTGCGCACTGGATACTTAACGAAGATGACGAAGGAAGAGCGAGATGTACTACTGGGCTTTTGCTTACGACACGATAAGAAGTTGAATACGCGTTCGCCTCTGATGAACGAAGTATTTTGTCACAGGGACATCGATTATCGCTTGTTGGGCCTTGGGGTTGTTAAGTATGCACAGTAAGTATCGTTTGGAATACTATTTTATCCACGATCTAATGCCAATAGTATCTATTGTGGTTAGACCGTGAATAAACGTGCCGTTAACAAACTTAAAAGATAGTGGAATTACACACATTATAACATAATGTTGCAAGATTTAAAAAAATAACAATAAAAAACAGTGATAGTCTGTGTAGCAGCATAAGACCGTGAAATGGACTGAAGTCAATAAAAATTGACATACGGAAACTAAACGTGTTCCGATGCCGAAAGATCCGATCAGATGAAAACGTTTGCGTGCGAATACTGTTATGTTTATTAAATCATGAAAATTTTATTATAAATTATTTTTGAAAGTTGAGTAATTCTTGTTTTTTACTATTTTACTGAATAGACTTTCGCAGAACCGATATTTCGCATAATAGTTTTTTCAATTGTTCTTTGAACGTCTCTGCAGATATGAAACATGCCAACTGCCCAAACATTATAAATTTTTCTTGACTGTATTTATAAAGTTTAAGTAAGGTAAATTGTTGAGCACTCTAACTGTCGTTATAAAAGGTAGATGTCCTAATTGCTTGGACCTTTGGGATTAAAAAGCAAAATTCTCTGACGGACTTACTATTGTAACTAGACAATAAATTGCCCTATTGAAAAAGCCTAAAATGACTATAATAATGATTTAAAATTATTTATTTTAAACAACAATATTACGATAAAAAAATTTCTTTCTTTCTTATAAATAGGTTCCGTTATGTGTTCCTTGACTATTCATCCGATTTGGAAGTATTTTTAAGTTCTGATTATGCACCATAAGGGGTCCAAGTTAAAAAAGTCTAATAATCATAAACTTTTCTTAAGTTTTGTTAAGAAAATATTTTTAATGTGTTTTTGACAATTTATATTTACAGCAATTCGTCCAGGCTATTGTACATGATGCAAGCGGTAGCAGGTCCCGAGGAGTCGTTAGCTGAGCTTGGGATAGTTCTGGGTATTATTGGGAAGGCGAGATCGTTGTTTGACACCGTGTTAAGGCCCTTACCAACGTCTGTGGATACAGGAAAATCTAAAGTTTCTATGTTAGTAGCATATCGTCTTCCTTTATTTTATTAAAACCCTAGACACATAAGTATAGCCCGACTGTCGAATTACCTACGCCGAAGTAGCTTCCACGCCTATTAGGCTCAAGATGCGTATTATGACGAGGTTATTTGTTGGTTTCTTTTCCATGCATTAAATCTTATTATTAGTTACTGATGACCTGGCAAACGTTGTTTTGCCATATAATTTATTTCTAGGGAATTTGTGAATATGAACACATAGAAAAATAATTCGGAACGCACGCATAAAATTTTTGGCAGGTAGGAACAATTTGTATGGGGAAATAAAATTGTTGCTATTTCGGTTTTCCATAATTTCTCATCGTTTTAACCTTCCCTGCACTGCCACAAATATTTCAAAACCTAAATAAGATAAATCGGTCCAGCCGTTCTCGAGTTTTAGCGAGACTATGAACAGTAATTCATTTTTATATATATAGAAGACTAGATTTTCGCCTGCTTCTCCGCCTGCATGTACTATATTTTATACCGTGCTTAAAAGCACCTACGGAACCCTTCGTGCGACTGTGACTCGCACTTGGCCGATTTTTTTTAACTTTATATAAACTTACAATCGTTATCATTTTGCGGACCATAGTATAAAGTTAACTAAGATCCAATTCAACTGTAGCAATCATATAGAATTTATCACACAACTTATATAATTATATATTGTAATATCTCTTCTATGTCTGTTCGGTAAAGGTCGTCTTCGAGTAGCTACAGTGCTAAAAGTACCGGCTCAATGAAGAAAAGCACAACTGCCGTACAAAAGTTATATGATGACATTGTATTGCCGAAAAAGGAAACCAGGACGTTAGTATTTTTAGGAAGCCAATCGAGATATTTTTGAAAGTTTTGCGTTAATATATTTTAATTTTCAGCACGTACTTTCCACCAACGTTTCCCGATGCGTCAGCTGAGATCCGCCCCTGCAGTGAAGTTCAGCGTCTGCGTTGGTTGAATCGGCTTGCTAGACTTCTGAATCCACAAACAACGGTGCATTGATCACGGGCATTTGTCTAAGACATTGCCGTCAATGCTTTGGTCGTAACTTTGTGTATCACTAAGCGAGAGCCGGTCGTTCGACGGACTTTTTCTTTCTTTTGAAAGACAAAAGACGGTTTATATGTTAGAGTCCAAAGTAATTATACATACTTGTAGATCTTCATTGTTATTATATATTTCTTTTCACATTTTGAGGTTTTGATTTTGACATCTAATTTTGAATTAAAATGGGTTACGTTGTGTGTTTATGTGAAAACGTTAAACATTAAATATATTAAATTTTAATCTAGCAGAGTCATATATAAAGGTTTATAGGCCCATTTCTCTATGATTTTTTTATATGTATAAAAATTTCGTCGTTGTAGCTATCACAAGTGGTGTTCGACCACGATTATGCTTCTGAATTTCAGTTTTCCTATTGAAGTGCGGATATGTTTTTTTTTTTATATGAAGCCTTTAAAAATAAAAACGAAATACAAGTGGCGTTTAGTGTTTTCAAATGGTCACCGATGTAAGTGCACTAACAGATTTGGTTATGATATGGTTCTTTAATGAGTTGGTGTAAGGCTCGCAATCTGTTTATTTTGTATCTTGTATGGTCTGATGTTTGTGCATTCAGTCCCGAGACAATTAAAGCTTCACCTGACGCAGAACCGGTGGGTTAGCCAGAACTCACGGGTTTGGGCCCTCCGCTGTGGGTAGGGCCGCGCATGTGCGTTTAACTATGGCATGTCATCTAAGGGCCATTGAGGGTTGCGGTGCGGACCGAGACCCCCGATGGCCGTCGACTGTGTTTTTAGCTAATCGGTGGCTGGGAGCAGTGAGAACCGCCCCGGAAGGCGGGTGTACCTTGTGTACGTGTTGTGTTGGTCTCGCCGTGCTCGGGGGCGAGCGCGAACTAATGTGTTTGTTGCTACACTAACCACGTCTGTTTAGCGGGCCCCAAGAATTACATCCTGGACACATTCCTTTTATATTTAAATGAACTTCGTTCAACAATAAATTAAAACATATTAGTTTAAAATACCTTGGGATCAATATAATAGAAATAAAACCGCGCTCAACACCACCAAATGTTCATTAAGAGAGAGGGTGAGATCGAGAGATACACATAAAGTTCATTTATCTTATCCTTTAAACAAAAAATTCTTGTATATATATATATATATATATGCTCCAGCGATTTTCATGAAATTTAAGTACGAGCGTAGATTCGGGAGCGAAAAGTAAAAGCGATTCGGTAATTGGGCGGCCCTAAAACAGACGACCGCGGTTCGTGTCACGATCATTCACACACACTTTTTTTTTACTTTTTCCGTTCCAGATCATAGCTTTCTTTTTTTTATTTTTTGTCGATCCAGATGATTTTGTTTTTCCCTTTTTTTTGAGAATAACACCAGTTCATATTTTCTTATTATTACGTCGGTAAGATCGAAAAATATTATGCATATTTCATTCTCAGTAATTTGTATCTAAATATAATCCAAAATACAAGATTTACCAAAAAAACAAACCGAGAAAAGCTCGGTCCTCCAGGTACTATATATAAAAGGGGTAGGGGTAGTAAATAATTAGCTACAAAAGATTTCTATTTATGAACGGTGTAACATAAAATATTCAGAATAGTTTTTGACAGCATAATTGAGCTACCGGAAATCGGTTTCTGCCACTTAACCCGTCGGGGAATGATATACGATGAACGTCTGTTTAGTTTCTTGACGTGCAGGCAAAGGTCAGAAAAATTTCCCTAAACGCTCCTATCAATACATTTAATATGTTTTTATCCGCACTTTTCTTTTTATAGTTTCCTTTCTTTTCGCCACCGCTGCTAGGCGTAGCCACTTCAAGCGCTGTTCATTCTTCGAAATACTTTTTGGTAGGATCTTTCCGGGGAAAGAGTCGGACAGTTCGTCACTGTAAGAGTGAAATTTTTAATCGGGTATCTTAAACGTGTTGACTTCTCATGGGTATTTTAGACATTATCTTGCTTTTAATGCTATAGCGGCATAAGTTAAAAACCAATTTTACACTATCAGATTTTTGTGTTCTTCTACAAGGATCTGTGGTCTATCAAATCTGATGTATTGGTTGTGGTGAATTAAAGTGTGCTCACAGACTGCAGACTCGTTCGTTCCTTTATTTTTGAAACGTTGGGAATTTTATCCCATATTGTTAACTGCGAGAACATTCCGACATAATAAATAATTTTTTGTCTATCAACGCAAATATCATAAATTTTAATGGAAATCGCATCAGTTTGGATGTCCAGTCGTTATTTCCATGCGTACAGGAAAAAGACTGCCCTTCAATTATCAAAACTATGAATCTTAAAGAAAACAATGCCTGTGGAATATGCGTTATTTTGCATATATTCTCAAAATCTACATTTATACATCCACTTAGGATGTTATTATAATGGGTTTAAATTATTTGGTATTAAATAAGCTCCCATTATTACCTATAGTTGAAAAATTTACGTAGAAAGCCCTTCAGTCATCCGTATAATCTGGATTGAACTAGTGGTATGTAGTGAACGCCCATACAATCCTGCCGTATAACAAAGTAAATACATATTCACAATGTATTTATTTTTGTAATAGATAAACTTCACCGTAGATTTTGACGCAATTAACTCTTCGCGTTCTTAAAATTCGTATTGATTTATTTATTAGTTACTAGGTGATAAGGTGAGACCCGTAAAATAATAAAAAATACGTGCTATATCTATTAAATAATTTGATTGAATAACACATACTTATAGATTTTCAAATTAACACATACTTGCGAGGTTATGTCGTAGAAATGTTATGACGACGACTTACCTGGCCTCAGCACGTTTATCCGGCAGAGTTATATCCCGATATAACGTCATGCTTTCGAAAGCAAATTTGTTACTTTTAAAGAGAGATGATCGAGCACTAGAAGACTTTCTGAAATAAAACCGTAATGAATATTTTCACAGCATATTTCTGCAAACGAATGATTGAGGAATAATGAGTACCGCGATGTTGTTTTTCGCACGCTTGTTGAAGAAGATGTGGCGGGCTTTTTGATTTCCCGCAACATAGTGTCGAAGCGTTCACGACGCAATCCAATAATTCCCAGCGATACACCTAGATCACTGAGGGCGATTTCAGGAGAAGATAGAACATGTTGGAAGTATAGCAATCGTGCGTTTAATCTGGAAGCATCACATTTAAATCGAAAAGTCGATCTTTCTTTATAGGTACTTTAATGCTTTACCTCAAATATTTGTTTTGATAGTAACTAAATCAAGATCATTTTCAAGGCTTTGTTGGGAGTCGGCAGGATCATTCCACCCATTTTCTCTTATTATTATTTCAATTTTCCTATTTTTTAGAGCTAAGTCGGCTTCAGGTAAAAGTACTAGTTTATGCGTTATAGTATATAAAAAAGAGATTTCCACAGATAATTGACTCATCACGATATCTTTGGAATCATTGAAATTTAGTAGGAATATTCTTTTCATCGAGTAGAGGTGAGCTAAGACCGGATTTAATAAAAAGTTACCTGTTGGATCCGCTAGTAGTATATAAAATTATTTTGCTACTTCAACTACACAGCTATAACACATATTTTATTGTATTCTTAAACAAAACGGGTGTGCCCAGTGGAAAACAGGCGTGAGGGAGATTTAGATTTTAGTCGAGTACTTGTGGTTATCTGTTAATTTAATTAAGTGCGATAATAAACGCCCAAAAGGTGTATACTGACCGGCGTTACGAGGCATACTGTAACGTTTTACACAGCGAGCGTTCGTGCAGTCCGGGGGAACAAACACCTATCAACGAGAGCTGTGGGCTGAAATCGAATCCATTGAGTGTTACGAGCTTTAGACAATACGACACAGTGAATCAAGTGAATCAAGAGCGCACGTGGTGGAGTAATCATTTGGTTTTTGAAGTAAAACTTCTTTACAAACGATTGACCTGGTGAATGCGTGACGAGAGCATTACGAAAAGTGTGATCGGCTTTGCGAAAAGTGTGATGTTACGCGAGCGGTAATTTCGTTTTTGAACAATTTTATAAATTAATATTTTGTTCAATACATTAAATATTCTATGTTTAAAGTTATTAAAATTGTAAATTCATACAGATGGAGCAGTGTGGTCTAAAGCACACTCGTTTTTTTTAATATTGTTATTTACGATAAACCACGTTCCTATTTTTAAACAAATTTGATGTCCAATAACGTTCTTTTTCTATTGAATTTGGAATAAACAATAATTGAGTCAAATTAAATCAAAGAACCCAACATCTCTTCTTCGTCCAACATCTTCATTGCGAGTGACTTGCGAATTTGGAGCGGGGACGAGAAAGAGAAAGAGAGTTTGAAACGAGCATGTTACAAGGATTTTAGTTCATGCTCACTGTGAATTATACATTACTTACGATTCCTAACGCCGGTCAGTACCCACCCTAAGACGGGAGAATAGCCGATATTGCGTGGTAACTCGCTTTAATATCGTATTTCACCGTTTTTTACCGCGTCTTTTACATTTCATACTTTTTGTACTTTTTTGTATTTTATTCAAATAAAATGTTATTTCTAGATATTTACGTAGGATATTCAATTGCTCCTATTCCCAATAAACGATAATCGATGCTCTCCTTTGCACAGGTTATCTCGTTTATCAGAGGTGATCGTAACGCCATCCTTTTCTCCTTGTGCTTACAACCTCCAAACAAGACTGCATACTCTGCAGAACTAATTTCTTTCTCGAAATTAGATTTCAATATATGCTTTGTTATGCTGTAAGTATTTGATTTAAAAGACCGTTGCACTTCCATTTCTTGAAAAATAAAAAGTTATAAACAGTCTTAGTCTTCAATAACTTTATAATTTTTGATGATTTATAAGTGTAAGCTATAATCCTTCCATCCTACTGTCACGTACTAAATAATAATATGGCTTGTACAGAAAGGAAGTTGACAGTCATAAGTATTAACCTAAGAGTATCGATTTCGCCGGAATC